ATTTTGTTTAAGGATTACGTTTGGAACTGCGATTTTGACAGGTCCACAATGTCGAAATGCAGCCTTCTTGAAAAAAAGGGACACTGCTCTTCAACGAAGAAAGATTATAAGAAAATTAATAAAATTGATTTTCTTTGATTTTTAACGGATATAAATAAACAAATAATATAGGAGCTAGACGCGTTATATTATACGGTTTGTAGAATATTATTCTAAAATGTCGCAAGTATTTGAATGCATAATGTACTCTGTAATGCACGTCGATCGTCGAGTACGTTGCTAGGCATTCGCTCGGTCTCGTGCGACTCGAATCCGTCATGCGAAGACATCCTTTCTCCTATAAGAACGAAGCTATTACATGACGGCGAGGTCGCTTATTGCGCATGCAGTCGATGCGCATGTATGGTTGTCGACCATCGACTTCGCGTTCGCCAGGAGGACACCGTTTCGGAGCTGTCACGGTCCTCGAAAGGACGCGATCGATATTGCCCGTCTATGGGACGTTTGCAACAGCTGTCGAGGCCGCCCTATCTCCGCTCGACAATCGTTTCGGACGGCAAAATCGCAAATCGAATGACATTTGTATCGAATCCGGCGTTTCGCGTCGCGTTTCGTTGAAAGATGTTAAAACTTCCGACCGCGATATCAGCGGGAACGTGTCCGAAGCTAACTCTGGCAACAAAGAATTATCGTCCTGTAATCGTCCGTCCGCGCTTTGCCGATCGATAATTACGCGCGACGCAACATCCGATTTCTCGAATCGTGCAATTTTTCGACAGGCTAATAATACGCCCGTCCCCCCTTCCCTCCTCGTTCGTCCCTGCATGCGTCTCTCCTCGCGCAATTAATGTCTTTGACATTCGCGAGACGCGTGCATCGAGTTCGGATCGTCCGAAATGGAGATTTGATTACGGACGACGTGCGTAATATTAATTTACGTTTCTTTTTCTCCCTCGATCGAATCCCTTTTGAGCCTTGTTCGCGGACCACTCCCGCACCGATCGTGTCCGCCGGACGTCACAAAGTGGGACCATTCGCGCTCCGAAGGCCGCGGTCCCGCCCGGCATATCATTCTACGTGACTGTTAACGCAAATTGGCTTTTTCGCCGAACAATCGGTACCGCGTGGCACACAAAGCGATGTCGCAAGATCTCCCGCGCGCTCGATTTTTACGCTTACGCTGGTTTTCGCGCGCGCATAACGACCGGGGGGGATATATATGTATATCACCGCGGAATGCCACACATGACTCCGAATTCAGCGCACTTGCGTAAATGCGCTTTAGTAATCGCATGTTCCTTTAGTGATCGGGTTTCTGAATACAATATTACGTGGAAACTGATTCGGCGTGTCCACAGTCCACGCCTTTTATGAGCGGAGACTGAAATCTTGCGTCCGATTTTGTATTAATCGTTAATAAATATTCCTGGTACACCTAATTTGGATTGAAACAGATTGCGCAGATATTAGGTAAATATTCTTTCCGCGAAAATAACTTTTCGACGGAAAATATTGATTGTCCAGAGTCGAACAAAGTTTGTCGATCGTGATCTCGTAGGTATGCGTAAGATCGCGGTATGCCCAGGTTTGGCTTCCAGTACACGTCGCGGTTGGTCACTTGCGGCTAACACGCTATTGTTCTACCAGATACCACGCGTGGAATAACGATCCAGCTATGTACCGTGTGCTGTACAAGATCGCGCACCATTCACAAAGTTAGACGGCGCTACGAGGGGAATGGAGGTCAAGTACTCGAAAACGTGGCCGCGATAATAACGCCTCGGAATAAGAGAAATTCCCTCGTCTGAGTTTACGCGACAGCGAGCAAACGTGGCTACCAAGTAGAAATTACGGTCTCGAGCGAAAAAAAAAGAAACAAGCGCGAGAGGATATTGTGCAAATTTTCATTCGATGTATTTCTCAACGTCAGAATGGTTACTTGCATTTTCTCTTTAGTTTCAGACGTTACACCCGATATCGCGATCATCGGTGAATCTCAACTTTCAATTCCGAGGGCAGATAAATTTACATTATTTATGTGTCTTAAAGTCCACTTGATGCTACAAATGCTTTGAAGCGTTCTTCTTCTTTCTTCACTGAAAGCATGATGTAGTATTAAGTGGACCGCAGCTTTAATCACAAAATGCGTATATTGTGGAAAGATAGGAATAAGAACGAAAAATCCAAAAGCGCTGACTCGAGTCTCTTCATTCCTTGCGAAAGAAGAGGTGATGATTGAACTCTGCGTTTGATAAATCGGGCATTAATATAAGATGAACATTCAACAAAAGGAGAAAATGAAAACATCCCAGAGTTCTTTAGAGAATTAATATCGCGTCATAAATTTCGACAACCGCGATCTATCACGCACTCTGTTACTGGTTTCGCCTTACGTGGCGCGATATATAAGTATCGCGCGTCCGGTTCCGTTGTTTTTCTTTCAATGAAAACCACAACCGTGCAAAAATCATCATCACCCTGCGTGAAGTAAGGTATGTGCGCGCGCGTGAAGAGCAGGAAAAGAAAAGTCGGAACCTCGGAACAAACGAAGAGGAAGAGGGAAGGCGGGAGGGTGAGAGAGACCCGCGTTTCTTCCGTCAGGCGCGCGAACGCGACTTCGACTCGCGCGATTCTGTTAGAAAGCGAGACCGACGTACGCGCGCATCGATGCATCGTGCAGCCGATGCCGCCGCTGGTCAGCTTTCTTCCGCTTGCGTGTCGCGTAGGTGGTGATTTTGTAATTTCCTCGCGAGGAACGAGGAGAGGAACGCGATATTGATAAGACGCGTTGATGGATCCGCAGACTTCGCGACATTGCGAATAAAATAAACGGCGCGATCGATGTGATGATCTCGCGGAGAGCTTAAAATATTCTAAGAATCTAATAAAGATCTAAGACTCACTTATACGCATTTATCGAGTTGCTGTTTCTTCAATGACGACAATAATAACACAAAAAGTCGTTACGTTCTAGAAATTTATTTATTTCAAGGGATCCGTTATTAATATGGAATATTTATTTAACTCTCCGTAGTCACACCTATTTTTTCAAACAACATTTTTACCCGAGACAAACTTTGATCGTTCGCCATTTGACCATTTATCCACCGATCGTGTTGAAAAAATTCTCAAATGCACTTGCAATATTGCTAAATTGATCGCTATAAAAAAAGAAATGCCTCAGGAATTTTTAACATATAAAAAAGATTTGCGAAAAATTTGTTTAAAAAAAATTTTTTTTTTTAACTACAGCTAGAGGGCGTCATGCCCGCCAATTTTCAAGTTACGCGCAAGATATTTACGAGCAAAGTTGAGGCTCGGGTCAAATTGACCCAGTGGGACTACGGAGGGTTAAATATGTATATCTAATAAGAAAATAAATATAAGTTTAACGTTAACACTTGCGACAGCTAATCATGCGTGTCACTTTTCTAACATAACGACGCGCGAAATTTACGTAACGGCCAACCTCGCCACAAAAATTATATTTGTACTGACACGTGGATGTTTATTGCTAAACCGTTGTAGTCGCCCGCGGGTGATATCCAAGTCAAACGAAATTTGCGATTTGCCTAATGAGGTGAAGGCCTTGACGAACTTCATACTAAAATAAGACTTTTTTTTCAGTCTTACCAAATAATCAAGTTGGACGATAGAATTTCTCAATTCTTAATTCGTATTTCCTAATTCGTCGTGCGTTCATGCATATCAAGGGATCTTACGCAATATATTATCAAGGAACTTTACCCTTGATCTAAATTTAAAATATCAAGTTTACATTCGACTTAAAAAGTGATATGAAATTTAAAGATATGAAATAAAAAGTAAATAAAAGGTACTTTAGGATTTAAAGAGAAATAGGATAGACATATTTCTTACGTTTATATCTACCTCATAAATGTCTCTCTCAAAAGTCGTCTTCATAGACTTTAAGTTGCCACCAGTCTGCGCGTAATCATCATCCTTCGACGCGCGAAATAATTGTTTAATATTATGATGCAGTCTTACGAGTCTCTTTTATCTCGAGTTAGCGCTTTATCTCTTTCCGATTAATCGGTCATCAGGCACTTGTTCACCGCAAGTAACCGCAGAGCGTTAAGCGCGCGCGGCGCATAAGTGCATAAATAATAACGCGCGACGCGCGTGCGAGGAACGGACCGTACTGAAGGATAAATATTTACGAGAAAGGCGTAAAGGTATTACAACTGGTTTACTCAGCAATTGTTTTGCTCTTGAACGGGATAAACGTAAAGTTTATCCAGGATACAGGCGCGACGTGTGGCGGCGAGAAGGAAGACGACCGCCAAAGAACGTATTTTTCCAAAACCAGCCGTCCTCGTTCCTTTTTGCGATCAGCTTCTGCTGATCGAATCGATTAGGTCGACGACCTCGGTCGAAGGTCGTGACGTAATCACATTCGCGATTGCCGTGAAAGATAATCGCGTTACTCGTCGATTATTTCAGGTTCGGGATTGCTATACCTGATAGGAGAGACAAAAAAAAAGAGGATTAAGGAAAAACCCGACAAGACTCCGAATAAGAATGAATGGGAGTTCCGTATTATTACCTTCGCGAAATAAACTCCTGCCGTTTCTATTCGCTCACGCACGTCCTTCGGATTTTCGCATTTATCTCGCGAGAAGATGTGTAACTGCGGGAATAAATTTTCTTATCTCGGAACGACGCTTCGCGATCGCCTAGGCTACCGTTATCTCGCGGCGAGATGCCGCACGAAATCACGAGTCTAGAAGCGAGAAACCATGTAATGAGAATTTTTTTCCTTCTTCTATGCAACGTACATTGAAATGAATTAATTTTATAACTGTGTACAATGGAAACGAGAATTCTGAATTCTTTTCCATTTCTGCTTACTTTAACATATATATACTCATTTCTCACGACTTTAAATGCAGACTCCATTCAGCATTAAAAAAAAAGACACGCGCTTCTAACTAACGGCAATGACTCATCTTCACCGTCTCTTCTTCTTCTCCCTTCAGGGGCGGCCGTTGCGTGCGGAGTCCTGCTGATAATTCTGGCCGCCGTCCTGGCGGTTCTATTCCCGAATCTCATCAACCTGGTCCTGGATAAGGAGCTCGCGATAACGGAGGGCGGCCGCACGTACAAATTCTGGAAGGAGCCGCCGGTGGTGCCGCGTATGCAAGTTTACATTTACAACGTGACGAACGCCGACGAGTTTCTGAACAACGGCGAGAAACCGGCACTGCAAGAGCTGGGCCCGTACGTTTACGAGCAGCATTGGGAAAAGGTGGACATCAAATTCAACGACAATGGTACCGTCACCTACAAAGTCAAGAAGACGTTTGTCTTTAATTCGGTAAGTTGATTAATTTATGGCACGGTAGTAATGCCATGCTAATTAAAAACTTATTAATTGATTTAAAAACTCACAATCTGCTTGAATCAAATCTGATATTTTTAACTCGCGTTAGAAAGCTACATCAATCTTGCTTTTTCAATCCATATTTGATTTCCGTGGAAATTGTAATTTTTCTAAGCTTACTTTTCATCATAAATCTAAATTTAATTATAATTACGCTGCTCTCTACAAAATATGAGTACATGCATAATGCTTAGCTTTCTTTTCGCGCGAATATTTTCCAAGGTAGTTAATTAAAACAGCTGAGGCCGAGACTGATATTTTTATTATGAGAAACGCGATTAGTATGCAAGACAATGCGCGTCTTTATCGCGCAGGATGTGTCACGATCATTGATTGTTCTTTTATCGAGAATATGTATGTCGGCTGCTAAGAAGAAAAGCCAGCGAATCCGTGTTGAATGACAATCGAAGGCGTCACGTCGCCTCCGGGTTATTTAAATCCGTCATAGACCGCGTTCCTCTCCGCCGACTCGACCGCACGGTTACTCTTGCTCGCGCATCGAAATCACTGCCGCGACTTTCTACATTCGTCAGAGAAACGTTTCCACGGCGTAGTCGAGTGTATTTTATCGCGATTCGACGACAAGAAAGACAATATGTATGTACACAGATCGTTTTTGCTCCGAGAGAAAATTTATGGAAGAAAATATTTGTCAATATTATGCGGAAGTTTTGTATCAGTTCGCGGTTGACGTGGAATTTTCATTCCCCGTCTAAACTCTCTCTCTCTCTCTCTTTCTCTCTGCTTCCAATCGCAAATTATTCTATATATAGTTATTTTTATTTACCTATTTCTTTCACTTTCTGTTATTATCTTTATTTCATGTTTAGTTATTTTTATTTTACCGCGATTTAACTATTTTGTGTGTCATATCTTAAGTTTTACAACACGTTATGTTTTTTATTAATATTTTGTCGTGTATATACGTATTTTAATTATTAATCTTTACCTCTTTCTATCTATTCTAAAACAAATTTTCATCGTCCATTTATCCTTCGGCAAGTTCTCCCGTTATTGCATTCAATTAACCGGCTCGGTCAGATTTTTCTTTTTCTTTTTTATTAAAATCTTAGAGCCTGTCAACCGGTTCCGAGGACGATCTGGTCGTCGTGCCGAACGTTCCTATGCTATCGGCTACCAGCCAGTCGAAGCACGCCGCTCGTTTCCTGCGACTGGCGATGGCGTCCATCATGGACATCTTGAAGATCAAGCCATTCGTCGAAGTGTCGGTCGGCCAGCTGCTCTGGGGCTACGACGATCCCCTGCTCAAGCTGGCCAAGGACGTCGTGCCCAAAGAACAAAAATTGCCGTACGATCAGTTCGGTCTCCTCTATGGCAAAAACGCGACCGGATCGGATCTGTACACGATATTCACGGGCACTACCGACATCACCAAATTCGGATTAATGGACAGGTGGAATGGCAAGGACGCCCTCGGTTTCTGGACCACGCAGGAATGTGATTCCATCATGGGCACCGACGGCAGCATATTCCCGCCTCATATTACGAAGGAGACCGTGCTCAAGGTCTTCGACAAGGACCTCTGCCGGACGTTGCCGCTGGTTTATCAGGTTTGTGTTTTTATTGGTCGTCGTTAATTATCCGGCTGATACGACCAAAGGCGGATGATGGCCTTCCCGGACTCCGGCCATTCCGGTCAAACAATTTTTAAATGTTGCAAAATACGAAAGGAAGATCGGAGAAAACGTCTCCGTTTCTGTCTTACATAGCGTATTATTCGTCTAATATTTTGATCAATAGTTAATTAATTTTTTATAATAAAAAAAATATATCAATATTGAAATTTTTATATTAATATATACGAAGTTATCTGTCACGTTATTTTACTTAAATTTTTAATATTTTTAATTTAAGTTAATCCCAAAGTTTTTACTTATTTAATAGAACATTCCTAATTGTCGTAATAAAAAATATTGAAAGCATCGCGCGTTAAAAAATAATTAAGTAATATACATATATTTTGGTATCTTGGATCAGCAATTTACGTTTGAATATCAATCTTGATGCTTGACCCTTCAAGAACAGCTCGATTAATATTGACCGAACTTTAGAAAAATAAGTACAGAAAAATAAAATTAATACCTATATTTCAAGTTGTTGCCTAGAATTTTTTCAATTTTGTTTTCAATCATATAAGTCACGCGTTTACTTATTTAATAGGGCGGTGCCAAGTTTACAAGTAAAAGAAATATCGTGCGTCAAGGAGAATTTTTTTTAGCGCGACGTGATAGCCTCCGGAGGGATCCCCGGCTACAGATTCTCTCCGCCGACGAATGTCTTCACGACGGTGGAGAATCTACCGTCGCAGCAGTGTTACTGTCCAGCTGGACCGCCGTGTGCACCGGAAGGCACATTCAATGTCTCCCTGTGCCAATACGATTCGCCGGTTCTCCTCACTTTCCCGCATTTCTACCTTGGTAAGTGTCACGTAACGCACGGCGGTTTTCTGGTCGCGCGGCGGCCGCGGCGAAGCCTTGTTTACAAATCACTCTCGTAACGAGACACTCGGGGCTATTTTTAATCATCGCCAATTATCATATTTATCGGAGTTACTTGCGATATTTCGATGTCGGACGATATATATATATATATGCGTCAAGATGACGCGAATCGGTTGGGTAACACTCGGCACAAGTACTCGCGTCTTGTTTTTGCCGTAATTATTATTATCATTTCTCGGGATTGATTACGGGCTTCCCTAATCGCGGAACGTGATACACATCACCCGACTTTGACGTAACTATCGTGGCGGGATTGTCGTGAATCTCCCGACACTGCGAGATAACATTATACGTCGTTCGCGAACCGATCGTTGCGCGTTACTTCAATCTCGCGTGTATCTAAAAGTGTATCGTCTTTACGTAAGCGCAGCGGATAATTCGCGCCGCGAATTATTTTCTTAGCAGATTATCGTGATAAATCTATTTGCGTCATGTGCAACGCGCGCCGCATCCTTCGTCGCCGACGTTTTCTTATCCGTGTGGCCCCGGCCCCGCGACTGCAGGCGACCGCTCGTCAGCGATTTCCTGGTCGCTGACAAACGAGAGCCGCGCGATTCCTCGTCTTCTCGCGCCCACATACGTCTCCTTTTCTTCACGGGTAACCGACCGACCGATCGATCGACAGGCCCGGTTAACGAAGATCGTTTACGTGCGTGCCAGTTTCACAAGCGAGATCTACCTGTCGCGCTGCTTCCGGCTTCGCGCGACTCACAAACTAGAAGTCGGAATCGGTCGAGCAGTCTGTTACCACGAGGCCTATTTTTTTTTCTAGGAACAATCTCTTTCGCGCATCCGCTGCGATTCTCCCACGGAATATTATGCGAGCTGTTTCTCTTTCTTGCTCTCTCTCTTTCTCTTTCTCTCTTTTTCTCTTGCGTTGATCGCACTTATTTTCGCGCCGCAAACTTTTACTTTCAACGCTCCGCATTTTAGACGATGCCCCAATTCAACGCCTCGTTTCACCGCCGCGTGCAAAACCGTTCTCTCGCTATAAAACAAAATGTGCGTGAGATACTCGATCGATTTCGTTTGTAAGTAATACGCAAGATGCCTCAGATCAAGCGAGAAATATTCTAAATGCAAATTTCTTGACGAATTCTTGACATAAAATTTTTTTTAAAATCCTGCTTCTGCACCTGGTTTTCTGAGAACTTCTCCGAAGAAAGAGCACGACGATTGAATGTTATTTTGTATTGACACTTATATAAACGTCTGCTTTAAAAGCTATTTAATTATAAATGCGAAAATAATAACGAGAAGACTTCGTAGTCGTGAATATTTAAGAAAAAAGATGGGAAAGAACGGACGAGATATCGCTGAATTCCGATTCGTTAACATCATTATCATTACTGTTGCGTTTATGCGTTTTGAAATACATTAAGCGTCTCAAGTACGGCTCTTAAATCCGCTCGACCGATGATTAAGCGCCATTTAACTGCGACGCATTGTGTCCATTTTATATAATGTAACCACACACGGCGACTTTTGACACCGCGTTATTATGTAAAGGCACGAACGTAGTCAGGTCTAATGGTTAAACAGGTACCTCTGCTGAATCGCGTTGCATAAAAACAAACTATCATTCTAATTTCACAAATTGCGTAACAATTAGATATTACAAATTAAAAAAAATATATTGATTACTAATCGTAATTTTAATAGTATATTCAACTATTTTTATAAAGAAAGAGAAAGAAGGAAGAAGAGAGCATAACAGTAATAACTTATGGTTCTACCGAGTGATTGAGATTCTCGATCGTTGTTTATCTGGTTTGATCGTTCCTTCCAGCCGATCCGGCCTTACGGGAGGCTGTCACGGGCATATCGCCGCCGGAAGCTGAGAAGCATCAGCTCTACATCGATGTGCAACCGATAATGGGCACGGCCATGAAGGCGCGAGCGAGGGTGCAGATAAATCTCGCGGTCAGCCAAGTGCGAGACATCAAGCAGGTCGCTTCGTTCCCCGACATTATTTTCCCCATTATGTGGTTTGAGGATGTAAGTATATGATACTTTTTTAATTATCCCCGGCGTCAATTGTCCGCAGACAATATATCTGATAGTTCTGATAGCCATTGATCTCGTGATATTAATTATGTAATAACACAATATAATATATCATTACATATCACGCTGTTCATATATCGTGCAAACATCGTCTTAACTTAATAAATACATAATTTATGCGATATATCCATAATGGTAATTATAATTGATATATCCTTGACGCGATGTATCTCTCGCAATTGTTAAAATTTTTGATTGCTATCTATCATTATCCACGATAGGCTGTAAAAAAAAACGCGTTGCATGAGTATCGAGTTTGCAGTCAATTTCTTGCAAAACTTTAATTCATGTTGAATAGTTACGTATGAATCATTGCGTGTTTTGTGTAAATTATTATGCAGCAGCCGTAGTTAAATGTTAAACGAGCGCGGCTATGACGTGGATTAAATTGCAGATCCCAATAGGATGCGAGAGCTAACGCAAAAAGTAGAGACGACCGCTTTTTCATGGCTGTTAATCATTGTTCTAAAAAACTACTAAGAATATTGCTTGTTAAACCTGCCAACGTAGCATAAATTTTGTTAATTATCCGAATGAGAGAGAGAGAGTCTTGATGCAAACGAGGGTCGTTCGTTTCTGGCATGTTGACGAACATAAAACATATAAGAATAAAATAATACAGAAATATATTTAAAAATATATCGGAAGTGTCTCGTTGTGACAGTGCGCGCGTGACATTCCGTCATATTGGCTTACAAGTTGGAAGGATAGGAGCGAGAAGAAAAAAGAAGACAAAAAAAATGGCAAGAAGCGAGCATTCAAAATAGAAATGATACGATACCGGTCACCTCCAAAACAAGATTCGCACACATAAAAATTTTGATTACGGAGAAACGGGAGATCGGGATCGGCAAGCTTTATGAGAGACATTAATTATTTATTCATCAGCAGCGCTCGGATTGAGAACCTTCCAAATCTTGAATAATTTAATGAGCCACCTCGATCAAATTAGTGTGACGCGACGATTCGAGGAATTTATTTATGCGAACGGAATCAAATTAAGTCCCTCTCAAGGATACCCCGGCCGCGGAGGAATTCGCGCACAATGCGCCTTGATTCGTTCCCCCTTATCCTACGTTACTGGACAACGCGGGACACCGCGGGACACCGCGTCGCTTACAAATCGTCGTCATCATCGTCGGAGCCGGTCGCGCAGGTGAAATTTTCATCTCTGCCTCCGCCCGGTGACGACAATGACGAGGGAACGTGCCTGCCGTTCGGCGGCCGTCTCGCACGGACGGCCGCTCGGCAACGACGTGCGTACCGCGTTTGAATACCGCGCACGTAGAGGAGCCGTATTGCCGCGCGCTTTTCGCTCATGATTCATATTAATGGAACTCGTCTCGACGCCACTAAAACATCGTCCTCGCGTCGCGATGTCCTTTGACGGGAGGAACAAAAAAAGAAGGAGAAAAACTCTCCGACTCCGAGAATCTCCTTTGTACTTGAGACAGCACGTACGTCGAGAGTGCAAGAAACTTTGATTTCACCATTTCAGGAAGATGTTTGCTGAAGAAAACGCGAAAATAAAGATCAAGCTGCTTAATTGTATTCGAAATTGCATCTCCGCCGACGACTCGTCTCAAATAAAATCGCCGAACCGGATGTGCTCTAAACTTTCGCTTAAAAATTTCTTTGTAACAATATATTGCAACCAATATTTTACTTTTAATTTTATCTTAAAGTTTTTAATTTAATTTGTTATCTTTTTTTAAAATTACTTTTTAAGCGAGAGAAACAATGGAATTAGCACGCGATTACATCTAATCCTTATTAATCGTGGGCATTAGTATTATTACGTATATAAGTAGAGTGTAGAGTGATCTAGGCTAATTTAGTTTGTCCTTAGTGAATTAATTATATGCAATTAATGTGTTGGTCTTGTAATTCTCTCACTAAGGACAAAAACTAATTATAGGTATATTTTCATATGTGTGTAAACTTATTTTCTGCTGATTCGCATTTATCCACCATGAAAAAATATTTCATAATAATAACTTACAATTAGACGAAAGGATAATGATAAAAAAAACCTTTAAAATGGAAATAAAACAAGTTATGCAGAATTATTATTCATCAGCATTATTGTAAAGTATATTAGAACTAATAAAGACTGAAATGCCTAAGTGTTGCAACGCACAGAGACACATGACTCAAGAAAAAAAAAACTTTTTTTATGGAAATGTTTACTCTTAACGATAAGAGGAAACTTTTCAGAATAATTTAACAAGCCATTTAATTAAAGATTGGTGAATCGAGAGGAGGAATTTCTCTTTCTCGATATGTAGGCGGTCCAGTATTGATAATATGCTTTCTCTTTTATCGCGCAGTGCGTCGACGAGTTACCCCAGGAGATGCGTTCCCTGCTGAAGTTGGTGGTGGATCTGCCGCCGGTTGCCCACGCCGCGGTGTCCGGCGCCCTGGCCGCGATCGGCGCGATCGTCCTGCTCGGCGCGCTCATGTGCCTGGCGCGCGCCGCCAAGCGCCAGGAGAAGCTTCATCTGAGCAACCCGCTGCCGGCGAACGCGACGAGCACCAAGAACGGCCAGCTGAACCCTGCCTTCAGCAAGTAGAGAGTCCAGCCGGTCCAGCGAGTGTGGGAATTGAGACGAGTGCGCGAGTGCTCGGAGTTCCGCCCCGCGAGAACGAGCCGCGCGACGAGTGTACCCTCTCGCGAGAGGACTTGGACGATAATCTTACTTATTTCATAGGCGACGGGCATGTGCTTTATATCTCGATTAGGATTTCCACGTTCGAACCTCGCGAGTCTCGCGAGAGAGAAGAAGGAAGAGAGGGAGGAAAGGAGGGAGGGAGGGAGGCTTCTCCGACGCGAAGCGAATTTTATCCCTTCGCGCGGGCAGCCGATAGTTTTATTTATGTTACGTTACGTGTATTTTTTCTCGGGATGGTATTTTGTCAGACGGTGTCAAGTCGCGCGAGTACAAATCAATCGCGAACAACGGTCGGCGACAAATTCGAGATCCGTGGGACAGGTGGTTCGATATCGTCTTCTTCTTGCTCGAGATGTAATCGTGACAAATCGACCGGTCTTTCCTCCGCGAAGGAGCAAGCTGACGCTCCTTCGCATTGAGAAAAAATGCCTAAAAAATATACGAACGAATTTTAAATCGAAACGTCTTTTCGGCGAAAACACTACGCTTCGTCGCGGTTTTTTTAATTGAATTCTTATAACCGAGAAATTGATCGAAAAATAAAGTCTCGTTGTCTGTTTATATTTACTTGATATTAGTTTTGTGGAAAGGGTAATACTAAACCTGTCGTCGACGAATGTTTTTCCTACAATATTTTTCTACGATACCGAGCGGAAATAGGAAATTGGAGTCAAGTCATTGTGTTACGAGGAACTCGGCGATTGAAATTTACAATGACGCAACGTCGTTTCTTTTTATCAGGATTATTAATATTAATAACGAGGCTTCTTGCTGCACACGATCGAATCGATCCTCATCAGGATCGCCGTTTAATCGCGCGAGGCAATTATCGTCGCGAGCACTGACGTAAGGATCAAAGATAAAAATTGATATTCCGTCCATGGCGTTGTCCCGAGGCCAAGCTTCGTTCACGACTTCAATTTGGATTGCACGAGCGTGTTTGCAACGAGTAGTTTGTGTAATCGAGACGCAGCAACAGCGGAACGACAGAAATCTTCTTTTCTGTACATATAGAATCTGGCCGTCGTTTGTCGTCTACGAATTGTAATTACCAAGAATGTACTATTTCTCGTTATTCGTTTGTACATTTATTATTATTATAAATAATGTTATTAGACGTAGATTATAATTAGATCTAATAAATAAATTACTTTTGTATGATAAAAATCAAAAGATACCAAATTGCGCGCGCGCGCGTGAGAAATCAGGTTATTGGTGTCAGCGTAATCGTTATTATATGTATAGTTGTACAACTATATTCTTTCTCAAGTTTTACTAACTCTCAAAAATCACGCGCGTATGTAAAACTCTATAAGAAAGCTAGAGTCACAATCGATTAGCTTGTTGCAAAAGATTTGTCGTTTTCATCAAGCTTTGTATTAAATAAAATTATAAAACTAAAATTCCTTAAAAAGAAAATCAAAAACTCTTCTTGGAATCTCGTGGCGGTAGTTTCGCTTCGATTTTGTTGAAATTCTGTCTCGACAAATATATATCTTTTGCACCAATCTGATATTTTGATTTAAATTCCAAATATGAAAGAAAAAGAGAGACAGGAATAGGAACTCTCCACTTATTGCTCACATCTTATTCTTACGTATCTCTTCTCTTTCGTCTTGGGAATTTCCAAGTGTTTTCAAATTTTCTTTCGCCTTTTCGTTCTTCTTGCAAGGAACGAGGATGATTAGGGACTCGTTCGAGAGATGAATGCAGGAGGAGTGAGGAAAATATATAATAGAATTAATTTTGTGACGATTAGAAGTTGAATTTGGTGTTCCACGACCATTCCACTCCCACACGCCATTGCACTCGCGCGCGATACTGCGTTGCGACACAGATGTTATTACATGCGATATTATTGCTACGCGTTTATCGGCCACATGCACTACGATGAACGACGTATATGTATGCGTGTATGTGAAGACGGCTCTTGCGCTGATATGAAAACGAGTTTTTTTTTCGACGAATTAAGAGCTCACTTTGCTTCTCGGGTTATCAAAATGTTAACTTGCACGATGGAGCATGTGTAGACGAATTAGCGATAAATCAAGCGCGACGAGGCGCGATTTACATTGAATTATTACGATTGGCCAAAAAGGATAGATAATTATAATTCCAGACTGCGGCGTGAGATAAAAGATCGCGAGGCATTTGCGAAGGTAAGTAGTGGAGGTCCGTCGTAAGAGGATAGCTGTAAATGCCAAAAATAAAAATCTACCGTACGCTATATTATAATAAAACTTTTTTTTTCAACCAATGTAGTAAAATAGAAAATACGGCGCGCGCCGTATAGTTTTTTACATATGTACAATATCATTCAATATCAGACACACAGATTTCGACAGAGATCTTCTCCGTTCTTTTAGATTAGACTTAGGACGAATATAAAAAGATACGCGGCGCATACCGATGAATACCGCGAGTCTTGCGGGCCCCGATGAGATAAAACTTACATTCTACGTTAAAGCAACACCTATATCGAATCTCGCCGTCGAGACAACGAGCTCGTTAATTGAACGGTTGTATGTAATACGTACTGCCGTCGCGTGTGTGCGTCAGCTATTAATTAAGTACAGGTCGTTCATTACGGCGTAACGCACCGTCGCGGTCGGCGACACCGCCAGGTAATAATACGACGAGATGCGAATGCCGCAACCGTCGACGGATCGCAATCGCCGCCGGCATAATTGTACGTTATTTTCCGATGCACTAAAGTCTCAATCACAGCTTCGGCCGCGTTGCGGGCGTGTTTTCTCTGTCACGTTCTCACGGTGCACAACAGCGGTATGTCAATTTATCGTATAAGGAACTAATGGCCCATCGACGTTCTCGTAGACTTTGCGGCTCGCCGTATCGATTGTTTCGTAATTTTAAATAACACGATAATAACACGATGGATCGCGTACGAATAAAAGAGATCTTCAAATGCTCGCTAATTCGTTTTTAATTCATCCTTTATCTAAAAAAAATACATTTATTTCACGAGCGGGTATTAACATTTTTATCCATATTTTTGAGAATATTATCATTCGACAAACAAAAGTAAAAGCATCATCCCTATTTATTCGTAAGATCCAAAGTATAATAAAATCGCTCGGTAAATGCTTTGTTAAAGCGCAATATGTCGTTAATAAATTATTTCAAAACAGACGAGCAATATTTCCGCAAGCAGTATAAATTTTGTCTCCAAGAAACGTGGCAAATTGTCATTATCACGCTGAAATTGTTCGCAATGACGGATTCCCTCCGCGCGCATCGAAGCCAGTTTGCCAGTAACGTACATTATTCCAATTGCACAACAATTATTAACGTTACCGAGCTCTACTTGACGATACAAATTCGTTCTCCCGTGCAACTCTACGAGAGACTAACGATTCGCATCTTCTGTCTCAAGTCGAATGTCGACTGATCGAGCACGAAAAACCCCTCGAGGCGTTTAAAAAGTTCAAAACGTCTAAAAAATTAGACCTTTCAGTATTCCCTTACATCCGTATTACCTCGGAATTCTTTTTTTCTTTCCCTAGGTGGATCAAGGATCTCCTCTCATTCGTTCCTTCTCTCCGAGCGGTTTCCGTTCCGATCAGACCTCGAGAAGGTTGTTCTGAATGAAAGAGTTTTTCTGGAGAACCACGTCTTGTTCCACGCGATATTTCCAGAGACAGGCAATCATAGCGGTCAAGGAGAGTATCATTGCTATCAGACTGCCCCATTGCGCGGCCATCTCCACGTTGGCAGCTGTGAAATGCGCACTCTGAAGGACCTCCAATACCTGTTCCGGAACCTCGTCTGTTCCAACCTCGAGCCAGATAAGCGGAAGAATCGTGCCGTCTTTCAGATTCCCGAGGAACGGCACGCCGATCGCCCTTCGCACCTCCAGGTTCACTTGCAGCCTCGACCAGCCGGCCATGGCGACCGCCAGGCGCTGAAAACAGAAATTTAATTTGATTTTTATTCGCTCTCGATCTTAAAATTAGCAAAAGATGGAGATGACGTTGCTTCCGAATTTCTTTACATGAATTCTAATTAAAACTGAAAGCCACTAGCAGAGTTCTAATTACAATAATTTAGATGTAACAATTTATTATCTAGCGTAATAAATATTTAATAATAATAATTAAAATTTTAGTATCCGACGTACCGGATGTAGGTCTACGAAACTCTCGTGATCTTCCTGCCGTGGATTCAAGCCATCTATTTGGTCCAGCAGGGACTTGTCGGCGCCATAAAAATGCGGGAACGACGAGAGCAAGGGCGAGCCAAAGCTGCACGCGGACATGTTGAAGAGTCCCGTGGGCGGGCAGACTCTCGTGCCGTGTACTTTTTGGCAGAAGCACTCGTTTTGCTTGTTCGAAAAGTTATATGCATCCGGGGTGAATTTGTATCTGAGATAAAATAAAATCGTACGTGTTAGACATAATCTTCAATCAGTTCTCTATCTTCCAACAGAAAACTGATCGGAAGGATTTGTTTATAACGCAAGAAACGAATGATTCGAAATTTAAGAAAATATATTATTATTAAATAATAGCAAAAAATCAAATTTTAGAATATATTTTTTGAAATTCTTTCGAGGACGATTGAAAATATTCAGGAATAGTTTTATCTCTCTTTAAAGATCGACACGTTTGAAATTGAATCGTGGCACATCATGCGGAAGGTTTACATTTTTTTTGTTTACCTTAGGGAAGGCATGCCGTAAGTGATCACTTGTTCGGTGAAATAGAAGGGTAGCTGCCTGCAAATGTCCTTAGAATACACGTAGATAGGTTTGCTTGTGTCCTCTATCACGTTGGGCGGAAATGTGGTGCCGTCGGAGCCCCTGACCTTATCGCATCGCTCGTCATCCCAAATGTGCCGGTCGTCCATCCCGTTCACTCGTTCGATCATGCCGAGATTTTCCATGCCTTTCGATCCCGTGTGCATCGTGATGTGATCCACATCGATACCATTTTTCTATAAGAAAAAAACGCGCATTTTACATTAATCGTGACTGAATGACCGTGTGTTATCTCGCAAGAGTTTCCCGTTTCCCGAAAGAAATTATCTCGCTTTTTGACGCGGCGATAAAATTATCTTTCGTGGTATTCACTTAACTTTCATGAAAATGTAAGGCCTACAGCTACAAAATAAATATTTGAAGTATATTTCTTAAAGAAGTAAAATTTTTCATAAATTTTTCATTTTTATAAGACGCGTCTTATATGTCTCGATTTTAGACATCGCGTTGCCCGGGACAAAACCCTTCGCGATTAAACGTACCATGGCCATTAAGCCGAACTTTTCGAAGGGTATCTTCCGCTGGAGCATCATCAGCGGCCTGGCCATTTCGAAGAGCTGAGTGTCGTATCCCCAGAGGAAACCGTCGGCGGTCACGTTGACGAACGTCGACTCCCCCAGACTCGACAGCACCGTGTGAATGAAGAATCGCACCGCGAAGCCGAGGTCCCGGACGTACGCAGTGGTGAACATCAACGGCACGTTCGGCACCACGATGGTGTCGTTGCCGGGTCGGCCGCCCACCCACTCGAAGGACCTCTTGTCCTGGTAGGTGACCGTGCCATTATCGTGCAACGCCACGTTCTCGCGACTCAGGGTCTCGCGGTACTCGTAGGGACCGAGCTCCTCGACGCGCAGCTTGCTCGCCACCCCCGCCTGGAACTCGTCCACGTTCGTGTAATTGAAGATGCGGATGTTGTACTTGATCCTGGTGGGCGGACGCTGCCACCAGTCGAAGGCGCGGGTGCCGTTGCGCAGTTCCATCTGCGACAGCACGTAGTCGTTGAACGCGTCCGTGTACCAGAACGCGTAGAAGACGGCGGAGCTCATCGCGAAGACGCCGCAGTAGATCCAGGCGCTCCAGAAGCGAAGACGATGGCTGCGCCCGCAACGTCCGATCGCCTTCTTCTCTATGTCCAGCTCGGTCATCGAGATCGTCATGCCGATTGCCAGGGTAACCGGGTAAAAGAAACGATTAATCGCTCTCGACGCTATAATTGCCGACGCTAATTCTCAATCCTCATCGAGGATCAGAGAAGAGGATTTAATCTTGATTAAATTTCTAGGATCTCGAGATTGAGGATCTGGAAAGTTCTGTCTCTCCGAAACCGGAGTTGTTGATCTGAGCACTCTCCGTCGAAGACAAACGGCTGGACCGTCTCCGACGCGTTTGAATGGAAATCTCAATCGCGACGCAAACAGATAAGCCAACGGAAGCGTCACCGTCGACGTACGACGTTTTCGACGAACTGGCCGGTTGAGCCACGCTGACCGCGTACAAAAATCTCCCCGCTTTTTTTTAAATCCGACGATAACCTTGCCATGCGGTGATGACCTCTTGATGGCCAACACCTCCGATATACAGCTCGCGGGGAGTTCGGAGACGAGCGCGCGCACTTAGGGCCTCCCTATCTCTATTCTCGCCCTTCTTCAAGTATTCATCCGTCTGAGGAAATACCTGAGGATCTGTCGCGTTTATCTCTCAACAAACGGAACTCTCCGAGACGCTTCCGAAAGATCATTCCTCTTCGGACGTATATATCTCGCACGTCGTCTATATGATACTCTAAATACTCTAAATCTTATCGGAAAAGTGTCATGCGAGTTGACATTTTATTTCGGGTCAATTGCTGAACAGCACAACATTTCGAAAGAGCCTGAAGAGTGTTTGGAAGGAAGGAAGAGAATGAAAAATTGGAATCAGAAAAAATACTAAAATGACTATCAAGGTCATCGCTGACTCGACTATCGCGGGTTGATTTACCCTCCAACCGCGGTATCCAGAACTGCGAGCGCGAGAGAGGCAAAGAAACGAAGAAAAAAAAAGAGAGAGAGAACTAAAGAGGGGAGGAAGATTTATCTTGGCACCCGCACCCGCGAGTGTAGACACAGCGCGTGTCATCCGATTCATTATCGCTCGAGTAAAAATTGAAGGCTATACTCCGACTGGGGGGATCGTACGACACATTTTATCGGCGCCAGACGAGAAAAAACATGATTCTAGATATCTTCCCATCCAAGGGAAGTCGAGGGGACGTGTGAGCTTGTGGCTCAAGGCTTAACGGTTGCACGTACACATAAGGGGGAGCGAATTGGATGAAAAATCCGGGGAGTCACAACAACAAACGTCACGTTCATGAACTTTTATTCGGCCGAGTGTTTTTGCATTTCATTCTATTGACCGGTATTCATAGTCGGATATCTTATATTTAAGATTGTCTTAAGTTTATCTTTAGACTCGCTGTACGACTCGATTCATTGGCTACGAGGTATCTAAAGATGAACTTGAGACGATCTTATAAGATCCGACTACAAATACCGGTCTAAGGGCCGCTTCGACCAAGCTCCGATTAACTCATTGATTAGTCCATTGGAAATGACCATTCGCATTTGCTCGTGAAGTAGATTGACAAATGCGATTGGTCATTTCCAATGGACTAATCAACGATTAAGTGAATCGGAGCTTGGTCGAAGTGGCCCTAAGACCTAAAGAAGTATATTTCTCTTTTTTGCACTGTAAAGCTTCCCGGCAATAAAAATTTCCTAATAATAACAATCGTGTATGTCGGTTGATTATATAATAAGAAAAAAGAAGACGGCTCCTTCCATCAATTATATCATAACTCGTATCGCGCTGTATGTTGTGTAATTATGTAGCGATTAGCGTCGTAATAACAGCGTGAGAAACCTCGGTCTAATTTTATGTAAATGAAATAATTGTTTTGTCTATCTTTGAAGTAGAATCATGCGCGAGACGCGTGAAAGAATAAGCTCCGAAAGGGTAAGATTCCATGGAGGCAACCCGAAGTCACAAAGTTGAGCGAATTTTGCTCGATATGTAATATTAGCGAAAAAAATCTCAAGACCTTTACAATTAAAATATAACAATTTTCTTGTAAGATCTAAGCGAAAATCAGCCATGAATATAAAATAAAGCTTGTCATAATATAGATAATAACACTTATATAAGCCACTGTGTGCAGATTTTCATGACTTCGCATGTCAAGATGATTGATGATTTCTGAGAAATCTATTCAATGTTTATAGCTTGCTCGATTATGTTTTCATGGCGCGCCTTGATTAATAAATTCAGATATCACAAAAAATAAATAAAATTAAATAACAGAAAAAAATTAGCATTACTACACATATTAAATATTGCCAAACATATTTAGTTCCGAGAATATATTCTTCTTTCTAAGACATTTGCATGATTGCATATTTCCGAAATTTATTCAAATTTGTCTGTGAGTTTCTGTATATATACAATATATAATTAAAAAATGCTAAAGAAATGTTTATTATATCGATCTGTAAATATTTCAATGTCTAAGACTGAATATATTGTTTAATTTCATACTATTCCAGAGAGTTTGTCGTAATTTATTCTTACAATACTGACATATATATATATATATATAACATTTGGCATAAGTAAATAATTCTATAAAATAATATTTCAATAATAAAATAAAAAATGCAACTGTGTATTATTTCTTATAAACGTCTCATGTAAATGTCCTTTCTCTCGCGAATGCCCATCTCGGTCGCGCGTGAAAAGGAACGGATCTCCTTAAAAGCGGAGGTCTTCCATACACATCCCCTTTTAAGGCTTCCTGTAGTTCGCAAACAGTAATGCCATGCAATTTTGTGTACGTATGTACATACATGTATTTACATGTTTTTTTCCGACGCGTGCTAATTGCCCGACGGCCCCGACGCGTGACATCAAACACACTTCTATTCGCGTTTTCTATCATAAAGTATTGTTGTGTTATGACTAGCGGTTGGCCTCTTCACCCGCGTCATATCCCCGGCATCCCCCTGCGCCACGTAAATCTCTATTACGTTGTCCTTAACGGCGCGCCGCGCGTCATACGATGATAAGCGAGCCGCTCGCTTTTCTTATCTGGTCGCGTGCACGCGATTACGCAAGGGTGGCGAGATCTCGGTCGGGCCCGCCCGGGCCTTAATAACGTCCGATAAAATGTGCGCGCCGATTCGTCTATATACAACAATAAAATGCAAAAAAATATCACATTACGATAACGCTGGACGGCGACCGCGACGGCGCGGCGGCGACGGATTCGACAGTTTGTCGAGGCTCAATCGAATGTCGTAATGCCCGTGATAAGCCCGAAGCGCGACGATAATAAGCTCGACGTGAGGATTTACGAGGGACCAGATACATCAACGATTTTTAACGATATGCAGTTTTCTGCAAATTCGTAAAAATATCCCCCGCAATATTTTCCTCCGAGATAAGAAAGACGTAGATAAGATTGACGATGGGATTTGCGTACTGCGATTTTTCTTGCAAGCTCGTCAAAATCTTTCCTCTATTTTTCGTCTGACGCGGAACGCAAAAATAATCAATATAGTAACATCGACCGTGCACTCTTGCAACATTTCTTGTATTCTGTCTTGTCGCATCTCTTTTCTAGAAAAAAAGATAACTGATAGCTTCAGAAAAGATGCCTAAATAACAGATCTTGTCACGTATAAAATATTGTCAACGTCTCTCGTTGGATTTTTAAATAATCTAAATTATGGCAGACAGGCAGACACATCACGATAAGAATTAATTAAATGAGAAGTTGTAAAATTCGAAGTTTTTGATGAGCTCAAAGGTGAATGGTCTGACCAATAGGGTCACTGTTGTGGCGGCAGAAACTTCGATACTTCCAGTCGGGTCGTCCCGTTCCTTCCACAACAAATCACTTGAATTAACGATTTCGTCTCTTCGTCGCTTAAAAGAAAAAAAATTATCCGCGTAATTTACGATCGATCGCTACACTTCCATGTCACGTGGGAAAGAAGTGAATCACGAAGGATGATGAAACGCCATGGTAGAATTGCGATTTAATTATCCTATGTAAATGTACATTTGTAACAAGTGACATTTGCGACTTGTCGAGCCTGGCGAACCCGCGCATTATGATAAATACAAAAATCGTTAGAATAATTCTTTTCCGAGCAGCATTTGTACTGTTCTCCGTCGTTAGCGCTAGCTGACTTCGCCATTAGCCCGACTGTTAAAAAAATTATCAACAACTGCGCCTTTCCAATTATCTAGGCTGAGGCTATCGTGCTTCCGGGACACGGCTCTATCGCCAGAGTTTTCGAACGGACGACTGCGTCGTCTTCCGTGGCGTATATCGACTTCGACTCCTGTTTCTCCTGTTCACTCTGCCATTGTACCTGCAATGCAAAAAAGACGCGATAAATTCCTCGTAGATTTCATAAAATTATACAAATATCTAAAAAAAAACCGTAGTTATTATATCTGTTAAACTATTTTAGGTGGTTTGTGCTCTCGATATTAAATATATTAAAGCACCTTCTGTTTGTGCTGCTTGACGGCCTCAAGGCACCTGTCCATAACCATTTTTTCTGTTAACGTGCCGTCCTCCGAGGCGTAGGCCGCCGCTTGCCAAGTGACTCCGAGTTTCGCCAACTCTCGGCCGGACATTCCCTCCGTCAGATCGGCCATTTTGCTGCACAAAGAACTGTAGTCAAACTGCGCGACCTTCAATCTCTTCTTACCCTCGATCGCTGGTTGGAGAACGTATTTTTCAAAGTAGAGGCGGACCAAACGCTCGCGCTCCTCGCGGCCTGGAAGACGGAATTCCACCATCTCGTCCAATCGGTCGTTCACCGCCCAGTCAAACTGCTCTGGCGTGTTTGACGCGAGCACCAGCATGAACTTGTTGCTTTGCTCGCCAGTTCTGTATAGGAATGCATTCAGCATCGCTCGAAGATCTTCCGAGATGTGTTCGCTCGAGCGTTTTCTCAGAAACGCGTCCGCCTCGTCGATGAACAACAACAGTCCCTTACGGGACGTCAACGCCCAATCGAACACTTTGTGAATGGCGGTGACGCCGTCTCTGCCCAACGGCGCCAGATCGCCGCCCGTCACGATCGCGTAGTCCATGCCCGAGTGTTCCGCTAGCTTTTTCGCGAACATAGTCTTACCCGTGCCTGGCGGACCGTGCATCAGTATGTTCCTGTACATGCCGCGATTGTACTTCGTGTTCTTCGTGGCTATCGCGATGTCGCGGAGTCTCTCCTCGAGCTTCGGCGCCAGGATCACGCCGGACAGCGCGTCAGTTTGTTTGGTCTTTAGCTTCTTAACCGCTTGAATGGGGTGTCGAACGGTATCGAGAACCGTAAATCTCGAGGTCTCGCGCACCAACGACGGTTTTCCTAAGCGAGACTCGATGTAGCGCGTCGCCACGCTGGTCGAGCCCTTGGCAGTGTATATTCCGAAGGCTACGAGAGACAGACCGCCTGCCGCTGCGAGGATCTTATCCCAATCCTCCAGCAGAGCTTTGGCACCCGAGCCTAATACTGAACCAGCTGTTCTGGAAAATATAATTGTGAAATGAAATTTATAGCTGTAATAAAACATACGCATATGAGTAATAAAATAACTTAAATAACAATTACTTACTTTATCGACTCTAAAACAGTAATTCTCTTTTCCGAGGCTTTTAATCTAATCTGCTCTAGATTGAGATCCTGATTTTCTCTGTCAATCTTCGCTTTGGCTTTCAATTCCGCCTCCAGTTTCCTCATCTCGTTCTTATGCCTCAGTTCCATCTCGTGCTCTATCGTAGCTTTTCTCATAGCTTCTTGCTTGGCTACCGATTCCTCTTGTCGCCTTAGATTCTCATCGTTCATCTTTTGTTGCTGGAACAATTGATCCTCATAGCGCTTTCTAGCCAATTGGTCTTGGTACTGTGCTCTCATTTGATGCTGCTTGGTCTCTTCCTGCATAGTTTTCCTTCTTTCCTCACCCTCCACTCGTTTCTGCTCCGACTTTAGCTGTTCGATGCTGGCTTCGTATTTTTTCAACTCGGTCTGCAACTCCACCTGCTTCGTGGTTTCCTGTAGCTTGGACAGGTCCAAGGCTTCTTTCGCATGTTCTACGTTAAAACAAGACTGTATTTTAGATTTTTTAAATTCTTAGAACTAAAAGAAAACATAAAAAGTAAGTTGAACCAAGATTAAAGCTGATCAGTCTGCAGATCGAACATCGTTGGTGTTTTAAGCAATAAATAAAAGGTAGAAAAGGTATATACTCAATTTATAACTATTGCAATATTTTTCTCACAAATCAATATTATTAAATCTATTAACAATACTTATATTCTCTCTACAAAGTATCAGATGCAATTATATCAATTTTTTACAACAATATTCATACATAATTTTGAAAAAGACGTGCAGGTTTTATTTACAAAAAAAATCTCAACGACAAGTATGATATTCGACAAGCTGACAGTTAAAATGCAGCGGAATGTCATCGATCAGACAACATCGTTCACGAAGACTCGAGTCCTCGGCATTTCAAAGAAATCTCCATTCGCCGGATCGATCGACGAATTCTCCGCGAAAAGTTGCGTCATTCCGCGCGCACGAGAGAGAGAGAGGCAAAGTTCTCCTCGTGCGCGCGTGTCCTAACCTCGAAAACCGCCCGCTTACGTAACCGCGCGCGCGGCTTTTCGCGTAAAGTGCGCGAAACCAGGGTGAAAAAGGCATCGTACTGGATCGTTCGAGTTCCTTGGCAGCCGCAGCGGCCCGTTCCAGCGCGGCTGAGTCGAATCTGTACGCCTCCATTTGAGAACCGATCTTCGGCGGCGAACCACCGCCACCGCCACCGCCACCACCGTCGCCCGCCGGTGGTGGCGGCTGCACGAATTGCGTGAAATCCTGCGGCTGTGAATTCCGGTACCCGAATAACCACGACATTTCTCTTGCTGTTTACCGGCGTGCCCCGAGCGAAAGGTTACACTTGACGCGCTCTGGCACGCGTATCCCGGAGTGTCTTGTCACGTGTACGCCGCTCCGACCGCGCCGATCGCGGTGAATTGCCGATGAATGCGCAGAATCCCGTGACTCACGTCACGATGAGTTTCGGGATGTGTAGTCGGTGCGTTCATAAAAAGTTGCATCAGGGTGCCAAACTCATAATAGGGACTCTAGACTCTAGAGTATGTACACGGCTGTTCGCTGCTGTGTGCGCGGCGCCGTGCTAGATGGTGGGGGGTTCCAACGTCCACGAAATAACAGTATTGTGTCGATCTACATAGAAATCAAACGCGTGAAGGTCATGGGCAGTGAAAAGTAGCAGCAGATCGTACTGATTGGCTACAAAATAGAGAAGTTCTAGGAACTCGA